GGAACAAATTTGGCAGCCTGACCAACCCTGGCCGACGGGAAGCATAGTTTCGCAGTTTGCACACGATGCAGGATTTGATCCCCTGACTGTTCGTGTGGTAAGCAGCGCCACTTGTCACTACGCCACTTTCGCCCACCTGCGGAATTTCCAAGGATATTATACAGTACTGAACTGAATAAGCAAGCATTTGTCGCACTAATCTGATTGGCGATTTGTTAAAAATTCTCAAGGAGTTTTTTAGACGTCGAGTGCTGCCAGGTGTTCTCTGATGACTTCACTGATGATTCAGCAACATGTCTCACTACATGCACAAAAGCGCTACGATCGCCATCCCTACGGACGATCGATAAACTGAAATCGATCAAATCATGTCGCTCAGACAACAAAAATTATACGGTACGTTGATTTTGGGGCATGAGGATTTTGGAGTGATTCTTTTCTCAAAGAAAGGAGTAGTGATGGGAGAAGGAAAGATTCCTTAGGAGCATACACAACCCTGACAATGAAAACCTCGAGGCCAAATAAGAATTTAGGGCGCGCCATGCGCACAAAATCCATTCGCATTCGTTCATTGGGAGATTGACCTTGAAGAGCTGCACAATACCCGCCTGTCATTAAAATTCGGTTTTGTTTCCTCAGTTCCCTCACTGTGGGAGACAGTGGAAGCTCTACACATAATGGCAGGAATCCTAATTTCCCATAACTGGGGAGACTGGGAGTCAAGGAAAACGCCCGAGACGAGCTTCTATCCATCTACTCCATGAAGCCCCACAGCTAAAGCCACTCATGAAAAATTGGAGAAGCTGGGCTAGAACACGGTTCCCCAACCACTCTATTCCGCCGACGTTGCCTCCTCTGCATATCAATATCAATACGAGTTATTTCACACCCTTAAGACCTTCCTAGCTATGAAAAAAGTCACCGAAGTTGAAGGCGTTAAAAAGGCGGCCAGCGATCTTTCTGACTTCCAATCCCTCCCCTGGATTCTAGGAAAGGGAATCGTTGACCTATACATTAGATGGGACACTATATGAACGGCGGTACTAATCTGTAACGATCTCCAGTTACGCAGGCGGAACCTAAAAAAACTTTAAGAAATTTAAGCGACTCTAAAATTTCCCAATTTTCGACGATCTGTGCAAAATCTTGCTCTCTAGATTCAGCGATACTTATTTCTTATCCCAAAATTTGTCCCAGAAGGCTGGAATTTCGATTCACTTCACTGAAAAGCTTCACATTTTCCTTTGAACTTTCGATTGAGCCGATAGAGAATGAAAATTTCACTAATAGCAATTCTTACATGAGCTTGAATTTTCAGTGTTTTCGCCGATGTCAGTCATTTCTTCGATCCAGGACTACTCAAAGCGAGAAATTCCCGTACTTAGCCGTCTGTGATCTTGCCAGTCGGCTTCAGCCAAACGTACTGTACATTGGACCGGCGTTGAAGGACTGAGATACCGCTACCGTAACTTTTGCCGTGTCGTACGGGTACACGCTGTGCTACCGCTTCTCCCCAAGGGTACACAACTGTCTCAGTTTCATGCAAGTTTCAAGGGTCTTATTGAATTGTGTTGGTTTGCTTGTTGTTTCGCGATTATCAAGGATGCAAATCGCTTTATTACACATTTTAGAGGGCTAAAATAGCCCAACAAGTAACATTTTTCCAAACCCTACGCAGTAGGGTGTCGATAAAGCATAAGAAAAGCATGCTATTCATTTCTATTAGGTTGTCTCATAAAGTAGTGTCGCTTTTTTTCAACCCAAAAATTTTCATCTATATCCTCATTCTTTTACATCTGTTCATATACCATTCGAAAGAGAATCGTCTGCTCTACAAGATGCTATGTTCCACTTCCACCTCTGTTCCAGGGTTTTCAAATTTTAGGCCTGCGAAATGGGAGGTCCAGCCGACAAAAATTGACCAAACCGACAACTATCTCTAACTTTATCTTCCCTTGGGAGAAATCAATCAATGATGTACCTCTACTTATGCATGACCTCTTCTAAACATTACACTATTAGGTTTCCCAACAAGTCGCGTCATTCCATTTCCAGACCTGGTTTTTCAACCAGAACTCGACGGTCAAGCACCATTACCTGAGATCGAGGTCGAAATTTTTTTATAGCCGAGACATTGAAAAACTAGTAGAATTTAAAGAACAAGTCATGACTAAGTTAGGAATGTACGCCTGGTTGATTTTCTCATCTTCTCAGGGATAATTTTTTTCAAAGAAATGCGGTCACTTTCGTGGATAAAAGCACCTTACTCCTAAACACCTAAAATTCGAGCTAATTCCTAACAAACATTAAAACAAAACAAATGAGCGAATAGAGCAGAAGAAGTGCTCACAAAAGATACACCAGTTGATATAAAACAATAGCGTTTCAGAGGAAGAATTTCAATTTGAAAATTGCCATGGCTTATCGGTCGGCCAATTCGAAAAGAAACAGGGCAAACCTTTTTCGGCAACCTAAGGGTGGAATGTTCAGAAGAGGTCATGAGTAAGTAGAGGGTACATCATTGATTGATTTCTCCGCAGGGAAAATAAAGTTAGAGCTAGTTGTCGGTTTGGTCAATTTTTGTCGGCGGGACCTCCCATTTCGCAGGCTAAAATTTGAAAACCATGGAACATAGATGGAAGATGAACACAAGCCCTTGTAGAGCAGACAATTCTCTTTCGAATGGTATATGAATCGATGTATGAGCATGAGGATTTAGATGGAAATTTTCGGTTGGAAAAAAAGCGACACTATTTATGAGACAACCTAATATTTTTTTGTAAGCTCTGACTTTTGAAACTGAGAAGCGGTAGGAATAGAGAATCTTTAAAACCTGCTTATGTCCATCTAACTTAGTCGCACTAAACTGTATGCTGAAAACTCAATTGTCCAAATGTTTTAAAGATTTTATCCGCAGTCGAGAGCGCTGACATAACTCCCATCCTAGGACGTGCCACGCGTGCGTTTTCCGTTTTTTTTATTTAAACGATTCCAGAACTTACCAAATCTACTTTTTGCTCCGTGGTCTCTTGTTTAAGGTCATAGCTTAGTTATTGTCATGCCATATTCTACCTGTTATAATTACAAAGAAAATCGAACGCCTTATACATTATTATGCCTTGAATATTAACTTACTTGCAAATTAAGCCTTATGCATGATCGATTTACAGCAAAACTCTGAGGCCTCCTTAGATTTATCACCACAGTACCTAGCATTTATTGTCAGAAGTTCCACGTTTTTTTTGTCATATTTCTTTGAAGATATGTAAACACGAGTTAGCTTCGATATAATTCGAGGTTGTTTTTCGAGCCGATCGATTATCGATCGTATTGAATCCCAGTTCGCACAGATGTCATATGCATGTACAGAATGAGTTGTCATAATCAATTTTGTTGTCATACATTTTCCCTTTTTCATTGCTTTTCATTATTCTGTCATAATCGTTGTCATATTGAGAGTTGTCATTTTTACCTAACGTCATAACGTCGTAAAGGTGTCATCCCAACCATGTCATACCTTTTTCTTCTTTTTTGCTTGTTTGTTACCCATGCTTGTACTTTAATGGGACGATGTACCTTTGAAAAGTCCTCATTTTTTTCTTTTTCGTTTCATTTTTTTTTAATTTTTTCATGGTATATGTATCCATTTTTGTAACCTTTCGCTTTATCGCATACTGAAACGTTGAAAATGTTTGGAAGTTTTGAGATATTTTGAAAATTAAGAGCCTTGTAAGCAGTGCAGACTGCGCCGCTTCGCTTCACGCTGCCTCGGGCTCGTCCTTAAGACCTCGGTACCCAAGACTGGATTGCGTCGCTATATCAACCAGCGATGGAATTCGTGGGACGACGTATAGGATTAAATCATAAAAAGACTGCCGGTCGCTTGATGTAGAACCAGCGACGCAATTCGCCGAGTCTGACCACGGTCTAATTGACCATCTCAGTGACACTAAATACGATTTCCACGAAAAAATCGATATCCAGGGGATTTACATTGCTCCACTGTACCATGGTATATGTGGCACTAAAAAAAGAAGAGGAATAAGTGGTCCAAAATAAGCGATTTATCGAAAGGTAGACCTGAATCCACATTTGTGACAGAACCGGCTGTGGGGAAAAAGGACTGCAAATCGATCCTTTATTATGCATCACGTACTTGCCTTCTCACCTGAAACCATTCCCATTACTTAAGATCCATCTAGCGACTTCATGATCCGCCTATCAAACAATGATTCCTAAGCTTACCATCGTAGAAAGCAACACTCCCAGCAAAGGTCGTCTCGAAGAATCTATTCATTGGGTGGGATAGAGTAGACCACGTGTAGCACAGAAGTGTCGTTGTCGCGCTTGAAGGTGCGCGAAAGCGGCGCTAGGGTCTTAAAAAGCTGGCTTGTGGCCACTCATCTTGGCTCTTGGACGAGTTAACTTGGCTGCGCGTGATGCTTGCGCGATTACGTGGTCCTTGAGCGACTACTTAAGCTGCGCCGCGTTCGAAGGAATGCTGAGTGTTTTTAGATTGGTTTTACTTGCTCAGTTTCATTATTGCATTTCATTGCTTGTATTGATGGCTATGCGACTAGTTGCATTTCTTGCTGGGACCAGCAAGAAACACAAGCTACCTAGATTCAAGCGATTGTCCCGACGAGGAGTGGAATTCCATTGTTTAAAGGCAAGAATCAGGATTAAATTTGATGGGGTGATTCCACTCAAATGTGAAAGTAGGGGTGGAAGGTGACCGCCAGTGGAGAAAAAAGGAAAGAAAATCCTGAAATACACAGGAAATACGAGCATTTTGCTCCATGCTGTGGAGAAGTTCAAAAGACAGGCAGGGAGATGAGAGATAATGTGAGCGCGGAGAGTGGTAGAGAAGTCCGAGAAGAGAGAGCATAGCAGATCAACGTGGCGACGCAGACAAGATATCGAACGGTGGGCGGACCATGTTAAGTTTGGTGGAGTCTGTTAGAAGTCCATGGCGCCTAGGGTCCTAGTGACGCGTTTCGATGTAGAAAGGTGGCGCTACCTTTGCACTTGCGTACCCAGCACTTCTAGCCATGGTAAGGGCTTCTTAGGTGGGTCTGAGCCTAACTTTGCCTTTGAGGGCTTTGTCGGCAGTTTTCTTTGCTTCTTTTTTCCTTTGCAATCAACTCGGCATCCACAGTTTCACTGGCGTCCTCTTGTACCCCTATTAAAGTTCGATCTGGGGGTCTAGCTTTAACGTGGCGTCACGAGTCGTTCTGTTTTGAATCGACCGGATCAAATCCTAAGCTCCTGTGAAAGCACACCAATCGCAGGAATTGAAACGTATACATTGCTTCTATATCACAAAGCGCTTTTTGGCAGAACGCAAACCTCTAAAACGTTCAAAAAAAGTGAAAGTATACCCCAAAAAGATATTATATAGATTATTTTTCTCCAGCATTTTCAGTGGTTTCTTTTCCTTATTTTCCATTCACGCTCTCCTCACACGCGCCCTTTATTCAATTTGCGAGCGGAATAGCCACATCTATTGATCATGGGTACCTCAGAGGAATCGTACTTGCTCCTCCCCATAAAAGTATCACTTGTGATCTATTCTAGATGAAGTGTACAGCGCCGCCCGCCAATGCATGAACCGCTACAGTTTCATAAGAACAGTTTGAATTTTGTGGAAAAAGATTAAAGCATTCTTGACAAATCAATATGCGTTCCCGTGTCCCGCCGACCTAACCCATGACCGGTATTCCCCAGAGCCGGGCGGTTATTCGCGTGATTGTTCTCTTTCTTCAAAAACAATCTTCAGAACACTTTGGACGTTATCTCTATGATCAACAGTTGACGGTAATATTGGAAGCATATAGCAAAGGAGTTTTCTTGAACGAAATTCACTCCGCGAAGGATGTGCCGAAAAGCGATGTCGGTGCAAATGGTGTGTAGGACCAAGCCGCCCTCACACGGCCATACCCGCTCCGCTCGACCCTCGCCAACTCTCCTATTCCGTATGCCTCTAGCCGCTTCTCTACTGCAGCAAGAAGGTGTAACGATTACGCGCGTATATGATGAGTATCACGCGTGAGAGCCACCAAAAGCTCGACGGATGGCCACTTCTCGTGCTCCAGGTCCTTTTTCCTGGTTTTTCTTCATCTCTGCATCCTGAACTTCTCTACCGTGATTTCTAGTGGCTGACTTTTCGTCGTGAGCTCTGCATTTATTGCTGGAGATAGAACGATGCGGTTCCCGTGCAGGATCCCTTTGACGGTTGTCGAGGAATCGTTCTTTTATCGTCGGTCGCAATCGCGTGTAAAACGCCTCATTGCTGTTGCCATCGTCTGATAATGTACATAAGAGCAATTCCAGAGTCCAAGGCCTACGTGATTTTTAAGCAGGTTCGTGTTAGTGTCACTAGTTTTTCTCAACTCCCAAAGCAGCCATCAAGCTTCCCAGCCCTATGACCTGACGCGGATGGCAGATCACTTA